TCAAAACTAGTTCAGGAAGTTCTTAATATAGTTTTAGTCCATCCTCGCAAGCCACTGGTCCTGAGTGAAAACATTGCGTTTTGCGCAGTTTGGGGGGGGGGGGATTTCTCCACTTTTAAGCATTGATCAATCAACTACCATTCACTCACTAATTCTAGACACATTCTTTCAACAATCTGTTTATATTATCCACCTCTCAACTCTTTATAGTCAGGGACGTAGCAACTGTGGGGGCCAGGAGGCCTAGCCCCCCCCCCCCCCACACACACACTTTTTTCCCCAACATTACCTTTACTATTGAGAATGTCCACTGTAAAGTTGGTTTCACACCCCACCCCCCACCCCCAATTCTTACCACCGTATAGTGATATGAAGGAAATGTAGTATTGTATGTATTGTGTGCGAAAAAATTGGAAGTAAAAGGAAGTTGGCCTTGGAAAAAGTTGGGAATTTTTTTTTATGCTTGTCAACTTTTACAGGTAAGTAAAAAAAATTCTCTGGTTGCCCCCCCCCCCCCTCCACTTTCAAAAACGATGCTACATGCCTGATAGCAGTCTCTACAGGCGATAAACTCGCTTGAAGTGTATTTTCAGCAATTTAACAAACGATTCTAATCAAATCAGTTTACCACTGTAAAGGATTTGGAGGTGGATAAAATATACAGATTGGTTACAGAATGTGTCTAGAATTCGGGAGAGTTAGTTGATTGAACAATGCTGGAAAAAGGAGAAATTTCCCCCAAAGTGCGCAAAAAAAATCTTCAGCCGTAAATGGTACCTTTTTTTTCGCATTACGGGATCTGTAGCTTTATGGACAAGACTAATATTTAAAACCACAACGCTACAGTTCTGCAGCTAGGAATTAGGTCACACCAATAAAATTTATTGATCGTCGGACCCGCGCGCTCTTATTTAAACAAAACTATACAAATAATATAAATTTGAAACTCCCGCACCATTGGAATTCTTTGCTGTTTTCTGTTCTATTTCAGCTTTATTATGTTCCCCAAACGAAGTTGGGGAACATATTGTTTTTACTCTGTTTCTTATTATTATTATTATTATTATTATTATTATTATTATTTTTCTTCTTCCTGGGAAAATTTTGTCCACGAGTGATCTTGTAAACTACACATCCGACTTAGGTGAAACCTTTTTAGGGTTAGTAGGCATGTTATGTAGAGTTGCCAAACAAAGGTCATTTTGCGCGCACGTGCTTGCAAGAGCGCGCACGTGCACTAGGTGAAATTAACAATATAATGGATATTGCCGTAACTTTTCTATTTTTTGATGAAATTTTTTGAAACTCATAATGTAAGGATACATTAGTAGTATAGACAAGATAGCATGGTCAAAATAGCAAGATCTCACGCGCATGCACGTGCGCTTCGCTCTGATTGGCTGAAACTAAAGTCTCAATAACTTTCTTGTTTCTTGTCATAATTCTTTGAAATTTTGAACATAGTCCTACATTATGAAGTTCTACAGCAAGATATATAAGAATTTTCATTAAAGCATGCGCATGTGCGCGTGCTGCAAGCTGATTGGTTGAAACTTTAAATGGCTATTTCTCCTTTGTTTTTAGACGAAATTCTTTGAAATTTAAAATATAGTCATGCATTAGGATATCCTACAAAATGATATAGAAAAAAATCATGAAATCACGCGCATGCACGTTTGCTGCAATGTGATTGGCTGAAACTTTAAATGGCTATTTCTCCTTTGTTTTTTGAAGAAATGTTTTTGAAATTTAAAATATAGTCATGCATTAGGATATCCTACGAAATGATATAGAAAAAAAATCATGAAATCACGCGCATGCACGTGCGCTGCAATCTGATTGGCTGAAACTTTAAATGGCTATTTCTCCTTTGTTTTTTGACGAAATTTTTTGAAATTTAAAATATAGTCATGCATTAGGATATCCTACAAAATGATATAGAAAAAATCATGAAATCACGCGCATGCACGTTTGCTGCAATCTGATTGGCTGAAACTTTAAATTGCTATTTCTCCTTTGTTTTTTGACGAAATTCTTTGAAATTCAAAATATAGTCATGCATTAGGATATCCTACAAAATGATATCAAAAAATCATGCAATTACGCGCATGCACGTGTGCTGCAATCTGATTGGCTGAAACTTTGAATGGCTATAATTCCCTTGTTTTTCAACCAAACAGGATGGGATTTAGAACATAGATAGATGTAAGGGACTCCTACAAGAAGGTATGATCATCATGCACGTGCACGCACGTGCGTGCATTTGAAACGAGTATATTTAAAAATACTCTTGAATGAGTGATTTTTATTACTTTTGGACTGAATGCTTTAATATATAGTATATTAAAATATATAAATAGTGTAGACAAGATGATATGGTCATAACGCACATGCATTCACATGCGCTTGGGTGCAATGCTAAAAATTGAATATAATTGGTATCCTTCCGGAAAAACGTTGTTAAAGTCAAAAATGCACAGAGTTTGTCTTATTTAATGAAGCTTCCAGGGAATATGGCACCGAAAGGGAGTTGGGGAGCGTTTGGGGAACATCTGTAACGGTTCCCGTTACAATTAGCACTAGTTTATCGTACTTTTAATCTACTTCCTCTGCAAATCAGAAAAAATATAATTGTCCGCTCAATTTTTTTCACGCCCCGTCTTAAAATTTTGCCTTCAAAAAAGTAATAATACCGGTATTATTATTTAACCGCTTCCCCGCTCGTACTTTTTTCATCAAATGTCCGACGGACAGTGTGGCCTTATTCACATGTATTGACTTTTACTTCCTTTCCTTTTTTTCTCTCAAATTTCTTCTATATAATCTACTCATTCTAGTATATGAATGTATTGAGATGTACGACAATTACAATGGAAGTTAATCCTTTCATTTTCAAAACAAGATGGAATGGAATGCAACCCCCATTCGAATTAAATTCATGTCTATTAAGGACATACACAACGTACCTTACCTACTGATAATTTTCCAAGATATTCTAAATTTAAACTTATAATATCATTAAATGTTCTTGGACAAAAAATCAGCATGCGTTTCCAGGGGTTTTGAAAAGAAATTTCTGCATTATTTAAATAAAAATGTACAAAAATTATAAAACATTAATTCCAGATTTTTTTTCCATCAAAAATTGTTTAAGAAGAGGTGTACAAATCCATATATAGACATTAAAAATATTGCACACAGGCCCTTCATTTAGTGGAACTCTTCAACTCCAAGGTAGAATCCAAAAAAGTTAAAACTACGTTGCTTATGACCTTAACATGAAAGTCAAGTAATTTTACTGAAATTCTAAAGGACATTATGTACTCCTTTAATTAATATACTATTATATGAACCTTTCTCCTTCCACAGAAGCCAATTTGGATATAAAAGCATAAAGTGTACACTTAAACTTGTTTTATTTTCTTCCTTGCATGGTCATTTCAACATAAAAGTATTTGTACATACATTTTAAAAATTTGTATTATGACAAGGGATAATTTTCACTGAGTGATTAACAAATTCGTCAAAATTCTAAACAAAATATGATAAATCTTCTACAATTGTTTCTTTTAAAGAGCTTAACATTAATGGACTGAAGAAAATAATGCATTCCTTTTGAAAATAAAATAACCTAACAAAACCTGCTTCAGCTGTGTATTGTATATGAATATCCATCCACTGATCTCCAAGTAGACATGATTGAAGAATTGTGGTTCTATGAACTATCATTTGGCAAAGAAAAATTCTGTACATTTTAGTTTTAAAATTTGGTCATTTTTTGTAAAATTTTATAAGGAGCTCTCCTTCTAAAGGAGATCAATATAGTCTAAAAATGGCCACAACCACCAGCCATATATAAATTTCCTTCTTATGAATTCTGGCATGTGGTAATTTGAAGAAAAAAATGAATTGAATCTAAATGATCTAGGCCACACTAATGAAAATTTTTGTTCGTCGGACCCACGCGCTTATTTAAACAAAACCATACAAATAATATTAATTTCAATTTCTCGCACCATAGGAATTCTGTGCTATTTTCTGTTCCATTTCCGCTCTATTTATTGTATTTTATATCTGCTTACTCTGTAAATCAGAAAAAATATAATTGTCCGCTCAAATTTTCACGCTTCGCCTAAAAAATTGCCCAGCAAAGAGTAGTAATATTATCATTTAACTGCTTGTACTTTTTTTAAATCAAATGTCCGACGAACAAGAAATTAAATTGGTGTGGCCCTACATAACTTTTTAAGCTTTTTGAAAAATGGTAACACTACATGATTCTATATATAAAAAGAATAAAATTACATGTACATGCAATAATATAAATTATAAGGCAAAATAATCCATCTTTAGATCTATGGTATTGTTGATATAATATTCAGACATAAAGTTCTTTAATTTTCTTTATGACTAATGCCTTCATTTTTTTACTTCCTTAATGTCAAATCAAATCCTTTAATGGTAGTGCTTTGGGTCATGTTGCTGTGAAGATACATCGGAAATATGCAGTTTTCTTCTTCTCCCTGTCGTTTGGAGTTTTAAGGTACCGAGATAATACCTGAAATTAGAAAACATCATTTCTGAGCATTTAAAGCAACATTATGTAATCAAGCAAATTCAAATAATTGTGGTCCCTCGCTTTCGGTGTCTTAGTTTGTAAGGTGCTATTATATATAGCATATTATTGTGTTAAATATTAATTCCCTATCATATATTGTCAATTCCAAAGCAATATTTTGAATTAAGGTCAAATAAAAAGGTCAAGGATTATAATCATTCCAAGGTCCGAAACATCTCGATCTTGTCTCACAAAAGGGACATCAAAAATGAAAACCAAAATCAAAAGTTACAATGAAAACAAGAGGCCCATGGGCCCACATCGCTCACCTGAGCACATGGGCTAGTTAAAAAAACACAAGTCAGCTCAGTATTGAAGTTTACTTGTTGGGGGGGGGATGAAATTTTTTAATACTTGAGAACTCGCTTGATTAAAATTATATGTTATACATGTACTGCTGAAAATTCACTTCAAGTGAGTTTTTATCTGTAGATATAACTAAAAATGGTTGGGAGGTGGATAAAATATACACTATTTTATACAGAATAAGTCCAGAATTAGGAATGGAAAGGTAGTTGATTGACCAATGCTAGAAAATGGAAAAATTTTCCCCAAAAGTGCGCAAACAATGCCCCGTAAATTCCACCTTTTTTGCATTACGGGACCTGTAGCGTTAGAGTCAGACAAATTATAAAACCATAGTGCTACAGATCTGCAGCTAAATTTTGCCATACTTGAAAAGAAGATTTGTCCTACATATTACTTGATCTCCCATTGTGACCCCTCTTTAACCCTCCCTAAACCCAAGAGATCATGTTATGAACAAACTTGAATTAACTCTGAGGATATTTCCATATTAATATCACAATCATAGCTTTGCTGATCTTGAGCAAAGGATTTTAAAAAAAAATTCCTATATATTTCTATATAAAAATTTGATCAGCCAGTGTGGCCCTGCCCTACCCCCGGGTGTCATGATTTGTACAAACTTGAATCTACACCACCTACGGATGCTTCGACAAGAGTTTTATCTTTCCTGGCCCAGTGGATTTTTTAAAGATTTTTCCTATATATTCTATGTAAACCTTTGATCAGCCATTGTGGCACCGCCCTACCCCGGTGAGTCTTGTTTTCATTGTAACATTTGATTTTGGTTTTAATTTTTGATGTCCCTTTTGTGAGACAAGATCGAGATGTTTCGGACCTTGGAATGATTTTAATCCTTGACCTTTTTATTTGACCGGGGCTCACCTGAGCACATTGTCTAGGAAAAAGCACAGATCAGGTCAAAACTGAAAAATTGAGAGGCGGGGGGGGGGGGGGTCGCTTGGTTATGATTTGAATAAACTAAAATATACATTAAGGGGGTTGATTCCATATAAATATCACTAATCATGGCTTTGAAGTACTTGAGAAGAAGATTTAAAAAGATTTTCATATATATTCTTATGAAAGAGTTTCATCGGCCATTGTGGCCCCATCCTACCCCTGGGGGTCATGATTTGAACAAACTTGAATCTACACTACCTGAAGATGATTTCACATGAGTTTCATCTTTCCTGGCCCTGTGTTTCTTGAGAAGAAGATTTTTAAAGATCTTTCCTATATACTCCAATGTAAAACTTTGATTGGCCATTGTGGCCCCACCCTACCCCTGGGGGTCATGATTTGAACAAATTTGAATCCACACTACCTGAATATGATTCCGGGTGAGTTTCATCTTTCTTGGCCCATTGGTTCTTGAGAAAAAAGATTTTTAAAGATTTTTCTTATATACTCCTAGAAAAACTTTGATCAGCTATTGTGGCCCCATCCTACCCTGGGGGTCATGATTTGAACAAACTTGAATCTACACTACCTGAAGATGATTACACATGAGTTTCATCTTTCCTGGCCCAGTAGTTCTTGAGAAGAAGATTTTTAAAGATTTTTCCTATATACTCCTATGTAAAACTTTGATCAGCCATTGTGGTCTCACCCTACCCCTGGGGGGTCATGATTTGAACAAGCTTGAATCTACACTACCAGGGTCTGACAAATCCCATTGCCCGACGCCCGGGGCTAGTGAATTTTTAAGGGGGGAGGCAAGTGAATTTTTTTAATAGGTACATGCCCGTGGGCAAGTGACTTTAAAGAAAATCAATAAATATTTTTAAAAATGTTATAGGACAGGAGTCTGAAGTTCTTATCGTCAAAAAAAAAAATCCGGAAAGAAATTTTCCTACCTTCAACTAAAATACACCATGATGGCAATATGTTTTGGGGGACACACTTAAACTAATAGATCTGGGCTTGGCCTAAAAAATGTCGCAACAAATTCAGTATTCGGAGCGTTTTACTATTTATTCAAGTTAAGAAATCCAATCTGCTTGACGACTACAGGCCGTTTCTGGCCCTTTTTCCACTTTAACAGCTCATCCTGGACTCCATGCCACTAAACTGGAAGTAAATCTTGCAGTGTATATTTGACGTCTATGAACATGATCATGATGATGAAAGCTTGTTCAAATGAAATAAAATAAATAATTATTCAACATATTTTGATTCAGTTATTTTAAACATATTTAAGAAAACTTTAAAAGTTATCAATTCTTTTTCTTACTTGTAAGACGATATGTACCAGGGACAGATAATTATTCAACATATTTTGATTCAGTTATTTTAAACATTTTTAAGAAAACTTTAAAAGTTATCAATTCTTTTCCTTACTTGTAAGACGATATGTACCAGGGACAGATAATTCTATTTTTACACGGTGCCAAATTTAAATCATTGAAAAGCCAAGTCAACAAAGAGCCAAACAGCTTGTCTTACCGACCTGATGAGGCATTATTTTTTTTTGAAAATATATATTTTTTTAATTGATCACATATATGGAAACATAATATTGTACATGAAGATTTACATACAATTTTTTTCTTTTCTTCAATTACGTAAAATATTCACTGCAGTGTTCACTTCCAGTTTAGTGGCATGGAGTCCACTCCATACTCCACTAATCAACCTCTTTCAAATGACACCAAGGTCAATGACTTTGTGACCTTGGCTGTGACCTTAATGCTAAAAATAGCTTTTTCCAAACTTTGTTGCCGCCGGGCGCATAGTGTTTCACAAACACATCTTGTTTTTTTTTATGGTCTACTTACCCTCTATACTAGTACTGTGTGTACATCTGTCCTCCACATTCAGCTTAAGTACAGGATCTTGGCTAGAAGTTGAGAAAAATTCAGGATACCTGTAATTTAAAGAAATATCAGTAAGAATGTGCTGCAAATCACATATTCCATATAATATCAAATATGACACTATACCGGGGCAAAAAAATATACATGACTGTACTCATGTTTCCTGTCACCTGACCTATCCTCCATTTTACTCTCCAAACCTCATAGTTTTTTTTGTCAAATTTGGTGGTGGTGGTACCCAAAGAAAGGTCTTGTCACAAGAAATACAAGTGTACAGCAGTGAAATATGAAAGCCATAGCCCCACTCACTCCAAAGTTATGAGCAAGGTTAAAGTTTTTGAGGACAAACAGCCAGATGGACTACAGGGCAAAATCTATTTACCAATACGTCTTATTTCAACTATGGAAGAGTTTAAGATTTTAGTGCGCTCCTCTGTAAAAAAGTTGCAGAGTGTACAAATCTTTCAGGATTTCTGGGACAAACGTAACATAAACATGTAAACAATATGTTGGATGTCGATGAACAAATCCTGACAAAAATCAAATGAATCATTTTATTGTTGAATCATTTTATTGTTGTGGACTTTATACATGTTATATGCATGAAGAGTAGAAAGGACAAAAATATCAATTTTTATCTATTGTTTATCATATGTATTTAATTATCATCTAAATATAATTCACATGCTTTGGAAATGATTGGATGATAAATGAGATGGGAGTCCGAGAACATAACAAGGGATAAGCCTATAGCGCAACAAACATGAAGGTGAAAAAATTAAATCTCAATATGTTATGTCGCGACTACCAATGAGTACCTCGCAGTTATCTAACTTACCTCCACTCTTTTGCGAGGGAGTCAAGAAAAGTCTAAATTTCTGGGGGCAAATGACATTGTTTACATTAGTGACAATCGAATAATTCGAACAATTTAATGCCAAAATCACGATGTTTTGCCAGATATTGAATTCCAAATAGTAGATTGTCAAATAAGGAAAGTTAAGAATATTTTATATACTGAAAAATGTGACGATTTTCAATGAAAATTTAACTATAAGAGTCCGCATAATTAAACATATCTTTAAAAATGTGACAATTTAGGATTGGCTCCTCTCAAAAATGTATAAGGCTGGTTCAGCGATTGTCTAGCGAGGTATTCCACTAGGATTTTTTACTTATCTGTCCTTATAAATGCTACAATGATCGATCTTGCATTAATTGTATTGAATAGCACAATTTGCTCCCACCCAACAGATGATACCTACCTCCTTCATGAAAGAGTTCAGCTAAGTTAAGTAATTGCGATATCAAGTATTGTATCAAAATTTTCCGAAATATTTCATCTAAAATTAAAGTATACTTTATATAAATCTGTCAAATCTCTACAACTTATACAGATATCATGAAGATTGAAGTTTTTGGCCTGTAAAATATAATACACACGCGAAAAAGGGCAAATTGAGTCATTTTTTCACACTTTTAGTGTTGTAAAAGTGGACAGATTTACTATTATCAAATTGAATCAGAAGAACACAATCACTTATATAATTGATAATTTTAAATGTTATAAAAGGTTAGATTTATTCATCCTTAGAAGTATTTTAAAAAGACAATGCACCAGGATATGGATATAATAATTATAACCTCTTCACCATGCACGTTCTCATTTTGTTTACTGCTGATTAGAGTGATGTCCCTTTGGTGAATATAAAAGTTAAACCTGCTCGGCTTGAGAAATACGGCTTGAAAAATATTATGAGTGATCTATCGATGATAATATTTACAATCGATTGTCGCCAATCTGGGCCTTTAAACGACGATTTTTCGATAGTCAGCGACTATCATAACAACACTACACACTTTTTAAAACAATGTTTTGAAATGTATGAGTGGGTCTTCACTCCACTTTTTTTTTTCAAGTTTATCCTCAAAGTTTGCATACAAAATGAAATATACTATTTTGATTTCCAAAATTATGGAGTAAAAACCCAATAAACCTTTTAAAAAATTATAATTTTATGATATAACTTTTGTATCTTTTCGAGAAAAACTTGAAGTCCACTGAGTCAATGGTCATATCACAAACATGATTTAAATGCCAATCCTCATCAGGACTTGTGTAGCATAGTGGTTAGCTTGCTAGTCTCAGTAGAGAATGCTACTCAGGATTTTAATTGCTAGGGTTCAATCTAATGGATACATGTACCACATTTTTATATCTGTGATAGTCAGTTGGTGAAAAAACTGCAACAAAAATTGCGTACAGATCTCGAGACACGTGGATATATAGGAAGTTGACATCGAATTTGCATAAAAATGAATCTCACTACCAGTATATAATATGCCTCGACAAAGAGTGTTAAAAAATTTCAAACTTCTTGCTACCTTAGTAGTTGCTGAAAAAAAAAACATAAAAATTTACACGCACAGATAAACAGGAAGTTGATGTGAGATTTCCTAAAAAATAATGCCACCATTATCCCTCAATATGTAATGCCTATAGAAAGATAGACAGACATGCTAATTCCAATTTACTCCCCAAATTTGATTGAGAATGGGTTAAAATAATTGTATGTTGTTATTGAATATTCCTCACAGTTGACTTGTAGGTAATACTTATCATTGCTGACTTGTGGGTAATATTTCTCACTGTTAACTTGTAATACTTTTCATTGCTGACTTGTGGGGAATATTTCTCACTGCTGACTTGTGGGGAATATTTATCACTGTTAACTTGTAATACTTTTCATTGGTGACTTGTGGGGAATATTTATCACTGCTGACTTGTGGGGAATATTTCTCACGTAGGTTATATTTATCATTGCTGACTTGTGGGGAATACTTCTAACAGTTAACAATTTTAGGTAATATTTATCACTGCTGACTTGTGGGGAATATTTCTCACTGTTCACTTGTGAGGAATACACATGTATTGACCATTGCTTTACCCTTAAAACTTTGTTTCCATATAAATGTTGCCTTTGAACCCAACCAATAAATGTACACTTCAGTGTATATTGCTGACTTGTGGGAAACATTTATCACTTATTGAGAAATACATTATTTTATTATACATGAACATTAAAGATAAAAATTATTTTTCAACAAATAAAATAACTATCAAATCTTAAAAAAAAATCAATCATCAATATTAATAATTGTATTGAAACTACATGTATTACTAATCTAATGTTTACAAGTCTTTTAAATCAAAGCACATTAATTTTAAAAACATTTGTTTTCCTTCACTAGATTTAAAACAAATTGCAAATTTTAATTTTCTCAGGTAAAAAAAAATGTTTTCAATTCAAAAATAATAAGTATGTTGAAAAGGATAAAAAGTCATAAAATCAGGAGACAGTATATATAAGTACTAATTTAATCATTGATGGATTTAATTGGCCAATGACTAATTATTATTAACCAAATTTTGATTATATTTTGTAAAATTTTCTGATTATTGTTACACAGTTAGCATGGTTAGCACACATGTATATTTTCTGACAACTTCTCAGCATGCTCATGAGGCTTTTAACCTACTTTGAAATCATGAACAAGGACCATTTTTTTTTTTTATTTTAGATATACCGGTTTATATACTTCTGTACATGTATTAGGCTTCATAACATACATGATATCAGCATGCTTTTTTTTTTATTATTTCTGTTTTTAGAGCAATGGAAGTACTGTAAAGTTAGTGTAAACCAACTTTTATTTGAGTGCAAGAAATATTTGCCAGTTTCATGATCTACATATACTAGTGAAAAGTAAATTATTAATTGCCCTGAACTATTAATTTTGCTTTATATTTGTAGAGAATGTTTCCTTTCATTAGTCACGGAAATTAATCAACACAGATTAGATATACAAATAAAAGATGACACAAATAGGGTACATGTGTACTACCTGGGCCAACATTTTTTTATTTACTGTTTTACGGGAATTTTTTTTCAAAATTTGAGTCGGGGGGTCGAAATAAAAATAAAAATAAAATCTCCAAATTCAAGCAGTCGGTCAGAAAAATAAAAATAAAATAAACAAATGTAACAATTTATTTTATTTTCTAAATTAAGAATGGAATTGTTTTATTGCCAAAATTTGGTAGAAAAAGGGTGTTATTTGAGAAATCAATGCATGCAAAACAATTTTATCATAATTTTGGGGTATTCAAAAAATAATAAGATTTTAGAATTTTTGAGTAGATTTCATATGGCAAGCATATAGTGAGGCTTTTAATGGATTGGTTCAATTATTTAACAAGTGAGACTAATTTCAAGAAAATATGCATATCTTTTTCAATGCAATTCAAATTAATATACATATAGGTGGATAAATAAATCTTATCTCTTGAAAACATATAAAAATTGCCTCAATGCTATAACTATCAACGTACATGATTGTAGAAAATGCACGTACATGTAATACCATAAGTATTACATGTAAAATAGACTATGACAATTACTTTGTTTACTGCAGAATTCAAATATTTCTAAAAACTCGTTTTAATCCACAATTTTTTAATTAAAAAAACAGGTCATATTTGTACATGTTGTATGGACATATCATTTGCTGCTTTGTTTTTCCATAGTGGTAAAAAGGTTGTTTTACAAAGAAAGAGCTGTTATAAACACCCACATGTGCATTTATTTGTTACATAGCAAGTAAAATTCCATTCTGAATCGTAATAAGTGTGATTAACATGATATTAACGAGTGGAAGTTGTGACCCGAATTTCCTCAGTCACGCCACTTTCTACAGTGTTCTGTTCTCTTGTTACAAGTAAAAGAAAACATTATTGTATTAAAAATGAGTTTCAGAATAATCTTCAAGCCATATTTCAATGCTTTTAAACAATTGTCAAAGATGTTACGTACTTGAAACCTCTCAAAACAGGGGTTGACAGAACCTCAATTTCCACATGGCCCTCCGCGTACGTAACATTTGATCAAGATTACTATTCCGTCTATTTTATTCAATCTTTCATTAAAAGTTAATCTAAAATTAATGCTTTTTCTAATAAATGCCATGTCATTTTTTAAAATGACTGGGTGTCTTAAAAATTATCCAATGATTCTGACATTTTGCCGCTAACTTCCATGCTGTGCACGCTTCACATTCATGCTCATTAGTTTTGCCAACTGTGATTGGATGGATACATTTACCTTAGCCAATGACAATTCACGTTTTGAAAGGCTTGTTAGAATTTTGTTGACGTTTCTTTTATTTTTTCAGTGACTATAAATAAGCTATCGGCGGGAGAAACAAAAATAAAACTTGAAGAAGAGACTTTTATTTTTATTTCATTTTAGCCAAAATTAGGGTCGGCGGTCCCGTAAAACAGTAAATAAAAAAATGATGGCCCTGGTAGTTGGTTTACAGTACTGCTCACATATGAGTTCAAAATGAGATTTTACAGCTATCTTGACTTACCAATACTAAATCCTTCTGTTTCCATACACAAATCCAGACAAAATGCTTTCAGTTATAATACTCTAGTTCTTTACATCCTTCATGTCCATGCAAGTGTGTCTGTTGACTTTGACTCCAAGTCTCAGTCTCTAACATTTTCAAGAATAAAGTTGTATAATTTGATCTTGTGGTGAAAACCCGAAAACCTGCAATGATAATTTTGCTTTCAGTTCAAAGATTTCATTGTATATTTTTTTTAAAGTGTTCATATCTTTACCTATAATTACAAGACAGGTATATCTCCACATCACTCAATAGTAATTTTTGACCCCATGCGGCATGCCAAAATTAAGACTTAATGTATGCCCTTTCCTGAATTATATTGTTAACAGTGGGTAGGTAGGTATGAAAAATATTTTACTTTTTTCCTTCTTGTGACATGGCCCAGAGAGCTTTCCCTTTTAAATCAACCGTAGAATAACTGCGAAACAGAACACTTTCTCGTGGATGTTTGATGAGCAGAAACTGTTTAAAGTGTTTTATATGCAAAAAATCAACGATACAGTACAACTTATTTTTAGGAATGACAAAAAACTGAATCAATACATTAAATGATAGTCATTGAAATTGCATGATAGTGCTGTTAGTATTTATTTAATTTTAATTAAAATGAGAATAGAAATTTACAGCGTAAAGTTACCAGAGGCAGATTAAAAATTTTTAGAAAGGAGGAGTGGGTGCAGAAATCAAATGGTTTTCTTAAAAAAACAAGAGGCCCTCGGGCCTTATAGGTCACCTGAGTATCATGTAACAACTTTCCAGTGATTATATTTGGTTCGTGTTTTAATCCAAAAGCCATGAAATTCACAAATTTTGAAAGAGGCACCATTGCTTATCAAAGGGCAGATTTCAAAGCATTAATTCATTTTTAGTCAAAGTACCCCCCTGGTACCCCTGACCCCGCAGCCCTGAGAAATTATCTATTTTGAAAGAGGCCCCTTTCTTCATTATAAGGCCAGCATTTTTTTTATGTTTAGGTTTAGTTATGAACATGAGAATAAAAAAGTCCCAAAGGAGAAGGAAATAAATTTTTTTTTGGATAAATCAATTATTAACATTGGTATGTCATTCTTTTTTTATGCTATCCTAATAGGCTCCTTACCACTGGACACATAATGCTTACAAATAGGAAAGTAGAACATTTAATTGCTTATTTCATCATCTGCCAGTTTGGGCCAGTTATATAAATTTTGTGATGTTGATCAAAATATATTGCAATATATCTTTATTTTTTTATTATGTGTTACATGAATGTGTAGACATTGTTCTAAAATTTACTTGATGCCTAAAATTATAATTCCTATCATAAAACAGACAGGGAGTATTGGGGAGTAGGGTCAACATTTTTTTCAATTATAAAGTGTAAAATAATTTTTCTGGCTGATACAAATGATACTACATGCCTGTATATATTTGTATGTTCTTGCCTTTTAATAGTTGAATTTTTTTTTATTTCTTCAGGTTATTGTTTATTTCTTCCTCAAATTTGAATTCACTTCTCCCATAGTTTTATTCATTACACCTGATGCATAAGCAACCCTTTTCTGAGGAATGATGCTTAGACTGTAAGCTATAATAGAGACCTAAACAATGTCCCTGGCAATATGCAATAGCTACCACGGGCAGTTAAAAACCTGGGGGAGGAAAATAATTTACAGTCACTTTTGAAACGAATACATAATTATCTCACCATCATGTCATTGTGCAACAAAGTCGTCAGCATTTTATTTGTCTTTTGAACGGGTGAAACGTTTTGAATGGCACTCTTATCGATGAATTTTACACTAAACCAAGCTCTTCTCAGATCTAGCTTTATTTACCCGCCGTTTCATCCTAAAACCGGAAGTGCGAGTTCGTAAATTTGAAATCTCGATCCCGACTCAAATTTGACATCGGAAAGAAAAAAATGTTTTATTTTTTTTCTGAACATTCAAAACCTTGAGCGGAGGGTTTGAAAAACTAAAAAAAATAAATCCTGGCCTTAATTATGTAATTAGATCATTAGCATATTAACCAGGGGCAAAGGATAAGATGTTCAAAGAATTCATGCATTTCCCTATATAATCATTAGAGCCCCCCCCCCCCCCCCCCTTAAACAAGAACCCCTGACCCTGGGGCCATAAAATTCACAATTTTGGTAGAGGCACACTTGCTTATCATAACTATGTACTTAATTTGTTTATTTAATACCCAGGAGCAGAGAAAAAGATTTTCAAAGAATTCAATGTATTTTCACTATATAAGCAATAGAGCCCCGCCCTAACACCAGAACCCCTGACCCTGGGGCCATAAAAATCACAATTTAGGTAGAGGCACTCTTGCTCATCATAACTATGTACTTAGTTGGTTTATTTAATACCCAGCAGTGCTCCAAGTTGCGACTAAAATGGTCGCATTTGCGACCAAAAAATTGAATTTGCGACTAGAAATGAAAACACACTCGCATTTTCGCAACTGAGAAAATTTGGGCTGGAAACTTCCAATTTTTAAGATCGGGATCGAGATTTCATTTGTCAAGATTCTCTATCAAGAAAATGTTTGAAGACATATACTTAAATACACTTTACAAAGCGTTGCATGGACTTAGATCACGTAATGTTATGACAGCATGGCATGCTGTACAAAGTTTGATAGAACCTGAACCAGAGACTTCGTCAAATAATGTTCCTGATAGAATGGCATCCAAACTTCGTACACTTTTTAAGATCCGACCTTGTTATTGAAGCATTTGATCAATTGCTTGCATATTACAATGAATCATGATTGTATTATCATGTTAATAAAGAGTGTTTTGGCGACATTTATAATGACTGTGTAATGAGTTATGTACGCAGTAGTAAGTAAACATGACAAACAGCAGGCAAAGTCCTGTCTCAACAGCTTTCAAGCTTGTATTTTCATTTGATAATATTTTATTTCTGTGATCAGATTAGTGAGATTACTTGTGTTCTTCTGTACAACCATATTAAAGGGTACATGTACAAGTATTCAATAAAAATATTTCATTCAACCTAGCAATTTTTTATAGTCACAGAAATAAGTAATCTATGATATAATAAAGACATAATACATATCCTTATCTAAATTATGAAGTTTAATTCACAATTTTTTTTTTATGGCGAGTGAAATATTTTATTATGGCGACCAAAAATTCTAAAATGGCGACCAAAAAATTTTTTAGGTCGCCATTTTGCGACCTGAGAGCAAGTGTGACTTGGAGCACTGCCCAGGAGCAGAGAAGAAGATTTTCAAAGAAATAATGCATTTTCACTACCTACTTATTTAGCCCCGCCCTAGCACTATAACCCCTGACCCTAGGGCCATGAATTTCACAATGTTGGTAGAGGACTCAGACCTGATTACAATCATGCCAACAGTTTAACTGCTTGGTCTCCAGGAGTATAGAAGATTTTTAAAGATTATATTATTTTGGTGGTTATAGCCCCATCCCTCAGGCCCCAGGGGGGCTAGGACCTTGAAATTCACAATTTTTGTTTCCCTTCACCATACATGCTATATGCCAAAACTGGTTAAAATTGGTTAACGGTTTCAGAGAAGAAGTTTAACATGTTCAAATGTTAACACACGACGCACGACACACGACGACGGACGAAAACGGATAGCAATAGGTCACCTGAGTTTACTCAGGTGACCTAAAAATAAAAGACCAAAATCAGGAAGCATTATCAGACCAAAAAATTTGAGCGCGATCGTTATATGTAAATAAATTTAAAAAGGTATAAATTCAGTTAAGCAAATATAAATAATTATGAATAATAGATATAATAGATATTGAATCTTAAAATCTCAACATTACCTTTCAATTTTATAACCAATTTTAAATTTTTAATATGCTCGCTATCATAAAAGCTGATCTAATTGTTATTAGGGTGAGTTCACCATGCATCGGACACATACCTTGCTTCGGACAATTTTAGGCAACAAACTCTCTTTCAACTTAAGAGTTCTGTGTGTTTATTTGTTTCTGTCATGAAGACGAAGATTTAAATTTTTTAATGATACCGATTGTGTTTATCATGTTGTGATAAAAATACCCCGCAAATGGCCTTGAAGTTACGTCATATTTTTACATCATCTAAGGGGAATAACCCGAAATTTATGATTTTGCAATTTTTAGAGTTATCGTTCTTTTAAATTCGACTTCCACGGAACGAGTCGGACTTTGGTGAATTTTGTCAGGGATTGGTAATTTTACATAAATTATGATTTAATTTCACTTCAATGTTTGTTTAATTCTTATTAGAGCTGGTTTTTACTAGTATGCTATTTTCACCCTACATCGGACATAAATTAACCATGCATCGGACACTTTTCGATTGCAAAGGTAAGCACTACGATTTTCATACAGAACCCAGCTGACAGCTGATTTTTGCGGAAAAAGAAAAAAAACCTCTATATTTTCAGTCAAAATACAAGTCATAGATATATGACGTCTGGAATTTTACTCAATTTATTTCTACAAACCAGAGTATGATAAACCATGAGAAAAAGGCGCGAATTACGGCATTATAAGCATTTTAAAGCATTTCTTAGGCAGAGTGAGGTCTCGAGAATCATTCTACATTTATGCAATAATATCATCGATTAAATTAAAGTTGAGGGTTATTTCTTAGATGAAAGATGAAAATATTATCATATCAAGGATTTTAAAGCACTGTGATAAAGGTATGATATTTTTCCAGTCTCCATACCGTCTGTCCGATGCATGGTGAACAATGTCCGATCCATGGTGAATTTTCAGTTTTTTCTAAAAACTCGATTTTCGGGAATATTTTCTCAATAAACGACATATAATTGTGTCCTAAATTGTTATTTTAATCACAAACTAAATGTTAAACTCCATTTTGATAATTTTCCGTCGGTAGCAATATCGCTAAAACTTGTTGAAGTACAAGGGTATCCGATGCATGGTGAATTCACCCTACTATGTATCTCCATTTCCTCCAATTCGCATTATTTTGTATACCACGCCCAATCATAATTCAATAGTAATTGAGGTTTTGAAAATGATTTTTAGTTATTTTTTACATATGATTTTGTTTCTTATTTATTCCATCAGCATCTAAACCCCAAGGCCAAGGATTGAATTGTAACAAATTTTAAAAATAAAAGGTGATCTTTAATTAACAATAAGTATTTAATTAAAATGAATTTATTAGACATTTTAATTGGGCCTAAATAAATAAGTAGTGTGTTTTCAGCATGTTTAGTTCCCCGCCTAACTTTAATAAGTATAGGAGCCGACCCTCAATATTCTTTCTGCTAATATCTTTCCATGAGTAAACTACTGTATGTATACGTTAAAATGCAGGCTTCATATTTTAGCGGCTTTGGTGCAGACAACAATGCACTAATTCATGAATACTGCTAAGAAATAATTTACATATTGATATATACAATACACTGCACATACATGTGTAGCGCTAATTAATGATTATGCCAACCCAGTGATTATGCTAAATTTTGAAAGCACCAAATTATATACACATATTACAGTATTCGGAATTCCAGTTTACAATTAGAAATGAATTCCCAATCTTGATCACTTCCATGTTTGAGAAATGCATATCTTACACATATTAATCAGAAATATTTTGACAGTGAAATCCTGGGGGAAAGTGGCAGCGTGCCTGCCAATAAAATGTTAAAATAAAATAAAAATGTTTTTCCTACCTACCTATAGTGCTACCCTATCTTTTCTAAGGTTAAAATAGGAAACACTATCTATTTATCTTGGCCTTAGAAAAAATAAAAAAAAATACTTATGATACATCGATAATGATGGTCTAAAATCATGAAAATATTTTCAGTAGGGCAATCAGGATGAATGTAGAACAGGGTGCAGGTGAAAGATAATGAAGGCAAATGGACACTATGCAAACCAACGCATGCGAAGAAATATGTTCAAGTAGGAAGAATGACTTGATAAAAAAACGATAACTAAATCAAGCTTTTTTTGGAAGAATTAAACATGTTAAATAATCTAACCAAGCTAAGAAATTTTAGCTACATAAATCTATAAATGTACTGATTTCAATGGACCTTTTGAAAAGGTGGAGTTCTCTGTGATACATTTCTGACACTAAGTCAGTGTGTGACTGACATCGTTTATAAATACACGTACAGTTTAAGTCAGATTAACTTTTACAATTAATTGGCCCACACAGGCCTCACTAAACAGCTAAAGACCAGACAGTCGCACCGTCTAGCATAATTTGTATGGGCATGAGAAGGATGGTCGCGTTTCACAAAAAATGGGGACAAGCCTTAAACGCTTACCATATCCCGGGGGTGCTGAATTCATATAAATCCGTAGTTTGTTCTTTCAGGATAGCCATTAAGCCTATAAACATGATACAATCAAATAAATAAAAAATAACCGAGGTCTAGGTCGGGTCAAACTTTCCCAAAGTTTTACGTGCATTCATTATTAAATGTTACTTTACGAACGTCTGTAAGAAATAACTGCATGCATGATTTACGTAGTTAAATTAAGTTTTCAGCCTATAATATCTTTAAAATATGATAAAAAATCTACTTACCACATATTCTCGGAGCAGCCATTGCCCGCAATAAATTGGTATCATATGGGGACCAGTTTAAATTCCGCTGCGTTCCGAATGAACATTTCCCAGCATCCTCAAACATTCGTTTTACGGTGCAGTGAGAAAATTACCGCGAGTCAATTTTACGGACTTATGGGGATTTTTTCAAAAATGACCACAAATCGAATAAATATTATCAGTAGAACACGTAGAATTCAAAAAACCCCATGACCATATTTGTGGGGAACGAGAGAGTTCCCCACAATTCTGAACTTTCCCCATAAGAAAGGTCCTTTGTCAGGTGTGAGTTCCCCACAAGTCGGTGAGCGCGAGTGCTCTCTCTCTCTCTCTCTCTCTCTCTCTCTCTCAGACATGTAAATTTCAGTATCTTGCGTAATGAAAAATCTACTATTATAGAATATGAATTCTGTATACATGTTAATGGTAATTATGGCCACATGTTCCAGATTTAATTGTATAGCGAATTTATAATTCAAAGGCCCACAGTTGCAATAATGTCTCCGAATAAAATCAAGAGGGGGGGGGGCTTCAAAAGAATTACATACTCGGTAATTTTATGTTTTATGAATTAAAAGGAAAATACTTAAGGTTGCATGTACATACATATAATTATATAGCATTGCATAAAACTGTGTTCATTCGTATACTTTATCTAACATATCAACAGACCTTTGCAGATGTTTTTGTATCATGTTTTTAGCGTGGCATTATTTCACACAGAAACGCGTAACTTTCACATAATACTTGTATTTCACAAATATTCAAGAATCGCTTTTTCTCATCTTTAATAAATTCTCGGGTATATAAAAGTATAGATCATGTAAAATAAATAACACTATAAGACTTTTAATCAATGAAATATACGTGTTAAAACCAAATCCAATCTATAGATTGATTTTTTTTTCTTTTAAGTTGCAGATATCAATTTATTTCTAAAGGCTTTACACCTACTCTTCTATCTCTCAGTTCCCTTTTGAGTAAATATAATATTTTAGAATCGACAATAAAAGTCGGATTCCGGGATAATTTCGCATTCAAATTAGAGAATGAATTAAGAATATTTTTTTTCAATATAATCATAACAGACATTACAGATTTACACTACGCTGACAACTTTAAACTATGCATATACTGAAAGTAGTCACCAACGTAATCTTTCATGCAGAAGTGGATATGGAAACTCGAAGTCTAATTATTTTTTTTATGTGAAAAGTGTGGATATAGAGGTCTGCGTCGTCATGGATACTACCTCCGCCTTTATCTAGAAAGTTCTATTCCCACTTACAAGTCAGAGTTATCTATCTTTGCTCATTGTCACTACGTAAATAGAGAAAATGAATTTATGACGGAACTTTCTTAAATCTCCAAAATGCAGAATCGATTGAATAAATAATATGTTAAGTATTTTTGTAGAATGATTTGTATATACATCGCTGTAATGTATACTGCGTACAATATTATTTTCTTCAAAGTGCTTAGTTCACACAGAACGGATATTTTTTTTATATATCAATTTGTAAATCAAAAACTTTCAATATACAGACGAACACAACACAGCAAATTTTAAATTAATATGCATATAGTGAATTAAGTCACATGCAAAAGAGAGAATATTGAATGTGTAAATATGTTGATCTGGAGAGCCAAATTTAAATTAATATGCATATAGTGGATTAAGTAACATGCAAAAAAGAGAATATTGAATGTGTAAATATGTTGATCTGGAGAGCGTATATATGTCTCTAACGTCATCAATACTATTTCCGCCTTTATCTCGAAAGTTCTATTCTCATTCACAGGTCAGAGTTATCTTTCTTTGCCCACCTTATACATACTACGTAAATAGAGAAAATTTCGGTACCGAAAATAAACAAAATGAGGAATCTGATTTAAAAACAAATTACATATTTAGTATTTGTAGAAAAATGTCTGTTTTACATAAGAATATCTTGAAAAAATATCTAAAAACAAAAAAATCAAAAATTGACCAAAAAATTTGGGAGGAATAATAATAATAATAATAATAATAATAATAATAAAAAGAAACAATACAAACACTATAAGTCTTCCGTTGTGAACGGAAGACTTAATAAGAAACAGAGTAAAAACAATATGTTCCCCAACTTCGTTTGGGGAACATAACAAGATGTTCCCCAACTTCGTTTGGGGAACATAATAAAGATTCTGTGAAAGTTTCATTAAATTTCCTTCATTAGTATGAGAGGAGTTGCGGATAAGAGAAGGGTACCCCAAAGCGTAACAGACGGACGGAAATCCCGATCACTATATTCCCTCCCGCTTTTCAAGCGGGGGGTATAATTAAAAGTCTACTTCCATTTTCGAAAAAGAGCCTCGAAATAGCACTGAACAGAGTAAAGTGGTGGCGGGTCTAAGTAACTCATTTAAAACAAGAGGCCCATGGGCCACATCGCTCACCTGAGAAGCTTTGGCCATTCTGTTCTTTACCAGATTTCCCCCTTGTAATACATATTGTGACCCCTTCCTACCCCACTGATCATAATTTACACAACTTCCATATAAGTTTCAGCTTTGATTTTCAGATTTTTTTCTACATATTTCTATGTAAAACATTGAACCCACATTGTGGCCCCGCCCTTCCCCCGGGGGTCATGATTTGAACAATTTTGAATCTAAACTACCCCAGGATGCTTCCACATAAGTTTCAGCTTCTCTGGCTCAGTGGTTCTTGAGAAGAAGATTTTTAAAGATTTGTTCCTATATATTTCTATGTAAAACTTTGATTCCCCATTGTGGCCCCGCCCTACCCCGGGGGTCATGATTTGAACAATTTAAAATCAACACTACTCAAGGATGCTTCAACATAAGTTTCAGGTTTTCTTTCCTAGTGGTTCCCAGATTTGAACACTTTTGAATCTAAACTACCCCATGGATGCTTCCAAATCTTTCCCAGCTTTTTTGACCCAGAGGTTCTTGAGAAGAAGATTTTCAAAGATTTTTCCTATATATTTCTATGTAAAACATTGATTCCACGTTGTGGCCCCGCCCAACCCCCGGGGGTCATGATTTGAACAATTTAGAATCTACTTTACCCCAGGATGCTTTCACATAAATTTCAGCTTTACTGGCCTAGTGGTTCTTGAGAAGAAGATTTTCAAAGATTTCTCCTTTATATTTCTATATAAAACTTTGATTCCCCATTGTGGTCCCGCCCTTCCCCCAGGGGTCATGTTGTGAACAATTAAGAATCTACACTAAACCAGGATGCTTCCACATAAGTTTCAGCTTTTCTGGCCCAGTGGTTCTTGTGAAGAAGATTTTCAAAGATTTTTCCTATACATTTCTGTATAAAACTTGATTCCCCATTGTGGCCCCGCCCTTCCCCCGGGGGTCATGATTTGAACAATTTAGAATCTACACTATACCAGGATGCTTCCACATAAGTTTCAGCTTTTCTGGCCCAGTGGTTCTTGAGAAGAAGATTTTCAAAGATTTTTTCTATATATTTCTATGTAAAACTTTTATTCCCCATTGTGCCCCCCCTTCCCCCGGGTGTCATTATTTGAACAATTTAAAATCTACACTATATCAGGATGCTTCCACATAAGTTTCAGCTTTTCTGGCCCAGTTGTTCTTGAGAAGAAGATTTTCAAAGATTTTTCCTATATATTTCTATGTAAAACTTTGATTCCCCATTGTGGCCCCACCCATCCCCCGGGGGTCATTATTTGAACAATTCAGAATCTACTTTATACCAGGATGTTTTCACATAAGTTTCAGCTTTGCTGGCCCAGTTGTTCTTGAGAAGAAGATTTTCAAAGATTTTTCCTAAATATTTCTTATATTTGATTCCCCATTGTGGCCCTGCCCTTCCCCCAGGGGTCATGATTAAAACAATTTAGAATTTACACTATACGAAGATGCTTCCACATAAGTTTCAGCTTTTCTGGCCCAGTGGTTCTTGAGAAGAAGATTTTCAAAGTTTTTTCCTAAATATTTCTATGTAAAACTTTGATTCCCCATTGTGGCCCCGCCCTTCCCCCGGGGGTCATGATTTGAACAATTTAGAATTTAAACCACTCCAGAATGCTTCCACATAAGTTTCAGCTTTTCTGGCCCAGTGGTTCTTGAAAAGAAGATTTTCAAAGATTTTTCCTAAATATTTCTATATAAAACTTTGATTCCCCATTGTGGCCCCGCCCTTCCCCCGGGGTCATGATTTGAACAATTTAGAATCTACACTATACCAGGATGCTTCCACATAAGTTTCAGCTTTTCTGGCCCAGTGGTTCTTGAGGAGAAGATTTTCAAAGATTTTTTCTATATATTTCTATGTAAAACTTTGATTCCCCATTGTGGCCCCGCCCTTCCCCCGGGGGTCATGATTTGAACAATTTAGAATTTAAAACACCCCAGAATGCTTCCACATAAGTTTCAGCTTTTCTGGCCCAGTGGTTCTTGAGAAGAAGATTTTCAAAGATTTTTCCTAAATATTTCTATATAAAACTTTGATTCCCCATTGTGGCCCCACTCTTCCCCCGGGGGTCATGATTTGAACAATTTAGAATCTACACTATACCAGGATGCTTCCACATAAGTTTCAGCTTTTCTGGCCCAGTGGTTCTTGAGAAGAAGATTTTCAAAGATTTTTTCTATATATTTCTATGTAAAACTTTGATTCCCCATTGTGGCCCCGCCCTTCCCCCGGGGGCCATGATTTGAACAATTTAGAATCTACACTATACCAGGATGCTTCCACATAAGTTTCAGCTTTTCTGGCCCAGTGGTTCTTGAGAAGAAGATTTTCAAAGATTTTTCCTAAATATTTCTATGTAAAACTTTGATTCCCCATTGTGGCCCCACCCTTCCCCCGGGGGTCATGATTTGAACAATTTAGAATCTACACTATACCAGGATGCTTCCACATAAGTTTCAGCTTTTCTGGCCCAGTGGTTCTTGAGAAGAAGATTTTCAAAGATTTTTTCTATATATTTCTATGTAAAACTTTGATTCCCCATTGTGGCCCCGCCCTTCCCCCGGGGGTCATGATTTGAACAATTTAGAATCTACACTATACCAGGATGCTTCCACATAAGTTTCAGCTTTACTGGCCCAGTGGTTCTTGAGAAGAAGATTTTTTAATGACCCCACCCTATTTTTGTCTTTTCTTGATTATTTCCCCTTGCGAGGGGATATGTCCCTTCATTTTAACAATTTAAATTCCCCTTTACCCAAGGATGCTTTGTACCAAGTTTGGTCAAAATTGGCCCAGTGGTTCTTGAGAAGAAGTCGAAAATGTGAAAAGTTTACAGACGGACGGACAGACAGACGGACAGACAGACAGACG